ACGATACATTGCAAAGGTAGTGCGAAATAGAGCTGTTTAGGTAAGGGAGATAATCACTCACTCTCAGTAATACAGCTTTAATAAGATAAGATGTACAGCATTGCAAGGTCAGTGCATGATACATATAGAATACTAAACGAGCTCCTGTGTAATACCAATTTTATGAAATCAGTGAATAGTTGTGGTATCTGACGAGCGAAAGCGAGTCAGATACCACAACTATTCACGAGTTTCATAAAATTGGTTTTACACCGGAGCGAGTTTAGTATTTTATTTATTACTTGCCATTTATAATGTTTGTAGAATTATACTGTTGAGTGTGAATAGGCTGACACCTACACAATCCATGGCATAATCTAATTGAGTTTAACACAATAATACTTTAAACACGTCAAAAGTTGAAACGTATGAATTTAATACCATACAACGGCCCACCTTTAGAATTCAGGCGTCCGCTCCACAAAATTATCGTAGCGTTAGGTTATCGCAACTCACATACTTTAACTTAGACCAACAGCTGTCGTTGCGCTACAGTACGATCGGCTTGTGGAACGTGGCCTTGCACCTCAAAGTTTATAATCATGTCACAATACCCGATGACGTAATTTGTGGAATTTTGTTGCAAGATCCTTCGGTGAAACAATGCCATGTGACGTCAGCCTAGCAACAAGGTTGCTGGGGTCATCGAGTGTGCATAAGCTCCTCTCAGTGATCTATCAACTCCACACGCAATGTCGTTGAATACGCCAAGGGATGTTGAGAGCTTTCAATATTTGTTCGTGAAACTTGTTCCGAGAGTACATAAGCACGTGTTTTGGTATTACACAATGTGTTATACAGCTGTATGTTTATTAAACGGGTGATCTTTTCACGGGCAAGTAATAAAGCTCTGTACTACGCCTATATCTAAAGGAGTTAATTGCTCAATGCGCAATAGTTTATTCTTACAAAATATAGACCAGTTAACTTTAGCAAAATGAAATATATATTTCCCCAAAACATTTTTAGCTCTTTTAAAAACAAAATGAACAAATTTCATGGGTTATCTTCATTACGGAAAGTGATTAAGTCTCAGAATAGCAAGACGATTTTGAAGTATCTCTTATTGCTGGAAAAGATTAGCATCAAGATTCCACGCACATGATTTGTATGTTTCATTTCGGTAACTGTGTGGCTTGAAATTTCAAAGAAACCAACATGTTGACATACATGCTATAAAATCAACCTCTCCTGTATTCCTGTATGGGAAGAATAACTCATAATATGGCCATATAGATTATAACCCATAATAACCCAGTTATTCAGTATATAACCCATAATATAACCATATAGCATATCATATAACCCATTATATAACCAACCATATAAACTAGTGTCCAAAAGAAACGATACCACCTGTTTGCAACGACATAAAAGAAAAACTAAACAATGCAGAAGTTTAGGATTGGTGTTATGCTTTTGAGAAATCCTTTCACAACATCTGTACAAAAATCATTTCAATAAAATCTGTACAACCAATATGACAAGCCTTTAAAGATGGGTGGGGTCGAAAAATGAACATTTCGTTAGAGCACTGATCACAGAAACAACAGGAAATGTCACACCACACGTCTCAAAGTCAAGTCAGTAGCGGGTATGTCCACCGTGAGCATCAATACATGCCAGAACACGCCTACGGACTGATGACGTCAAACGTCTCATGACGTTGGGAGTGATGCGTTGCCATTCCTCGAGGAGACATTGTTCCAAGTCCTGGACGTTGACTGGAGGCACACGGCGACGTCAGATTTGCCGATCGAGGTGGTCCCATAAGTGCTCGATGGGATTCATGTCCGGTGAACATGCAGGCCATGGCAAAACCTGTACGTTGGCGTTGGCAAGGAAGTTCTGTGTCAATCTTGCTGTGTGTGGCCTTGCATTGTCATGTTGGAAAAGGAGTCCACGAGGCTGTTGCTGAATAAAGGGCACCACAACAGGCCGTAGGATGTCATCAAGATAACGCTGTGCATTCAGGTTTCCACGAATTACGACAAGCATCGTTTTGACGTCACCACATATGCCACCCCAAACCATTAACCCTCCACCTCCAAACGTCCGGACCTGTTGGATACAGTTAGGCGCCAAACGTTCACCAAATCGTCGGTTTACAAGCTGCTGTCCATCGTTTCTGAAGATGAGGAATCTGCTCTCATCAGAGAACATAACACGTGCCCTGTCCCGCCGTTGCCAACGTCGAACTCACCTGGCCCAGATCAGTCTATTGTTCCGGTGTCGAGGTGTCAGGAGCGGTCCGCGGTAGGGATGACGTGGCCGGATACCATACTGCCGTAGTCTCCTGTAGACGGTCTGTCGACTGATCCTGTGTCCCAGTGCTCTAGCCGCTGTGGACGTCGATGTTAGGGTGCGGTTCCTCAGGTGTAATACCCGGATGTAACGATCTTCACGGGGCGTGGTTACTCGTGGTCTTCCACTCCTGGGCCTGTCTGACGTCTGACCTGTCTGACGTAACCGCTGAATCAACCTGGTGATAGTGATGCGTGCGCAGCCCAACCTTCTGGCGACGTCGACGTGTGACGCTCCTTGTTGGACCATTCCAACGGCTCTCTCTCTCTCGATGGCTGTCAAACGTGGCATATCTTGTGTTCTTTTTGTTGCTGTGATATCAACGTGTCTGATCAGCCGTTTTATACAGTTTTTCTGCACGTGCAGAACATGCTAGCGAGGGAAATGTCACTTTCACGAAATTTATGTTTTTTCCCGGAAGTGATCACGTGTTCCCGGTATTTTTTATCGACTATGCTGTGTTTGGGATGTGCAATACGAATTGGCATGTTTTCATACTTGACAATTCACTTAGTAAAAAACAATTTTGAAAATAAGTTGGTATCGTTTCTTTTGGACACTAGTTTAGATTATAAGCCATAATATAACAATATAGTATATAACCCATTATATAACCATATACCGGTAGTACATAACCCATAATATAACCAATGTTATAACCATATAATATTTCTTACTTAATATATTTATGTTTTTCAAATTTCTCTACCTGTGAAGTGTTTGAATATTTGATTGAACGATAACATGTGTGGCTGGTGATATTTGCACCAAAGTGTCATTGCTGGGTAGGAACTACTTTGTGTATTTGTTTGGATGATACGAGGGGCGTTCAATAAGTTTTGCAACTTGGGCATTTGTGTTTACACAAACAATGTCAACTTGTGGCAGGTGTGACACTAGTCATAAACATCAGGTTGACACATGTCATAACAAGTTCCATACACAACAATAAGTTAGATGTGATGGCTTTATTCACCTAAGGGTGGTCACAATCATGGATTCTCTCAAACATGAACAACGCACTGTAATAAAGTTCCTTACCAAGGAGGGATGAAAAGCAAAAGATATCCATGATCACATGTGTAAAGTGATGGTAAGGATGCTCCTGACTATTCCACAGTTTGCCGTTGGTCTTCACAGTTTAAAAGGGGTAGGGAGTCCATAGACGATGACCCAAGGTCAGGCAGGCCTTCAGATGCCACCCAACTGGAAACCATTGCTGCCCTAGAAAGAAGAATTTTGTCTGACCGACAAGTGAAAGTATCTGAACTTTCTAGGGAATTCCAAATATCTGTTGGAACTGTTGGAACTGTTGGAACCATTATTCATGAGCACCTTGGTATGTCCAAGGTATCTGCAAGATGGGTACCTAGAAACCTCAGAGCTCAAGATCGCCATCAGAGAACTAAAAGTTGTCGAGACCACCTCGATGTCTATAATGCTAATGAAGCCGGATTTCTTTCTCGTCTAGTGACAGGTGATGAAACATTGATCCACCACTGGGACCCAGAAACTAAATTGGAATCCATGCAATGGAAGCACCCCAATTCTCCGCCTCCGAGGAAGTTTCGCACTCAACCATCGGCTGGCAAGGTAATGGCTACCATATTTTGGGATGTAAGAGGCATATTACTGATTGATTACATGCCACCAAAAACTACAATCAATGGACAGTATTATGGTAATGTAATGAATGAAATGCAAAAATCTATTTGCCAGAAATGCAGTGGGATGTTAACATGTGGTGTTCTACTTTTGCATGACAATGCTCCGTTTCACAAGTCGAGAATTGCACAGGCCGCCATACGTGAATATGGATTCGAACAGTTAAATCACCCACCCTAAAGCCCAGACTTAGCCCCCAGTGACTATTTCCTGTTCCGGCAAATGAAATCTGCCCTACGTGGAAGACGCTTCAAGGATGACGAGGACTTAAAGGCTGCCACAGAGGCATGGTTAGAGGGCCAATCTGGGGATTTCTATAAAAGTGGTATTAAAAAGCTTAAAGGACAAATGGAATAAGTGTATTGAGGTGAATGGAGATTATATTGAAAAATAAAACTGCAAGAGATATTCTGCCACTTGGTCTTATATTGAAGTTGCAAAACTTATTGAACGCCCCTTGTACCTTGAATCATATTTATTGAATTGGACTTGCATTCTGCTCCGAGACGTTGATGCAAAATGCTTTCCTGAGTTGTTCAAGAAGTTTTCATCCCTATAAATCAATTGTACTTTCAGCTCATTAGCGGTCTAAACTGTATAACACCTAACTGACATGTTTCAAAGTATTGACTTTGTGTGATACAGTATTTATTGTATAGCATATTGTTTCATGGCGTATGTACATACATTAACTGACTGAGGGAATAAATATTTTCACAGTGTCCTGGATCTATTCTTAAAACCAAGAAATTAACCTGTATGGGTAATGAGTGATGCTCTGAATGCATGTACAAACAATGCTAGTCTGTAGGAGCTGATGGATGGATGATCATAGTGGCATACTTTACACAGAATAAACTGTCTATCATTAAACTCACTTGAAGTGGTTTTGTCATTCCTCATTAACAGGAAATGAATGCAAATGAGGCCTGCATGATTCTGGACCCAATCTGATAAAAATAATTTCTAAACCAATTTGAGTTGCCACTTACCTGAGCCTGCAAGGATGTTGAATCCAAGGTATTGAAAACCATGGGAAGGACGTCTGTTCTGATCTCTTCCAAAGGCGTCTTTGCAAGTATTATATCCAGTTTGTTCAAAATGTACACTGTTGCCTACAAACATGCAAAACTCTTTTAGTTTAAGGAGCGTCTTTGCAAGTTTTATATGCAGTTAGTTCAAAATAAATACTGTTGCCTACAAACATACAAAGCATTTATAGTTTGAAGTGCAAGTATTTGAAAAATAGTAATAAATGTTTACAGTAGCCATTATGTAGCAAGTATGATGTACAATATGATGGCCAAGACAACAAGTGTGTAAACGTAAACTTTGAGTACTTGTCTGTATTTGTAACAACCCAAACGGATCTTAAAAGTGCTAACGAGGAGGTGTGGCTTAATTAGCATGGATGGCAAGGCCTGCAAGCTGATTGGGTATAACCACCAGCCAGGTACAGAATATACGCATTCATTTCATTAATTGTGAGAGACCTGTGTTGTGTATGTAATGGTCACGCCTTGCCTGAGGTGGCCCAGTGACAACAGAGTTCACTGGCTCTGCGGAGTGTCTCGATTGAATCACACTGCTCACTCATGTTTCTTTGCATTGTGTTTATTAAGATGATAATTTTTTGTGTTTAACCGTGAACCGGGAACACTCATGTGATACTCTGTACTATGGTTCTTGCATTAGACAGGTGAATAAAGACAAAAAGGCTTGTTGAAAATATAATGAATTTTTAATAAATAACAAAAGTGGTTGGAGACATTGAAGCTCATCCAACAGGTGCTCAATGAGATTTATATCAGGACTGAGGGCAGGCCACTGCATGGTTCTGATGCCATTCTGCTGGAGGAAGCCTCTCATTGCTCTCGCAGTGTGGGCACGGGCGTTATCATGCTGAAACTCGTGGTTGCGGCGACGTGCCAAATGAGGTCTGGCGTGTGGTCTCAAGACTTGATCAATGTACCGAGCTGCTGTGACATCATTGCCTCTCTCTGGACCAATGTCCTGGAAGACCACAGGGCCGACCCTCTGTGCAGGAAAATTCCACCCAACACCATGATGCGCAGACCACCCCACGAGTCTCCCTCAAGCAACAGCATCCGAATAACGTTCCCCACGTAGTCGCCAGACTCTCTCTGCCATCTGCTGTTGAGATACAATAACAGCTCTCGTCTGAGAAGAGGACTCTTCTCCAATGCTGGTGGCACCAATGTTGGTGGTGTGTTGCCCACTGAAGATGGTCCCGGCGATGACGTGGTGTCAGAATGGGTCCTCGGTGTGGCCTGAGACAGTGGAGGTGTCTGCTCGTCAATCGTCGACGCACAGTGTCCGCACTAATGTGTCGGTGATGTGTCCCAATGGTCTGTCGAGCAGTTTCCACAACAGTAACAAAGCGATCTTGAAGATGCTGTCGGACAATCTGACGATCCTGACGTCGGATGGTAACCCTTGGTCTTCCACTACGTGGTCGGTCATCTGTAGTGTTGTTGGTCTGGTACATTCGCTGGAGCCTGTATATGGTCCTTACGTGGACTTGAAATGCATTAGCTACTTGCCGGGCGGTTTGTCCAGCTTGCAATCATTGAAGGGCTTGGTGTCGCTGATTTCTTGTCAATCTTGGCATGTGGTATCAATTCAATAACGAATGAATGTTATCCGATCTGGCTGGATTTTTATAGGGCAAGAAATCGGATGCTTGTCTTTAGTATGGTTCTTGCATTAGACAGGTGAATAAAGACAAAAAGGCTTGTTGAAAATATAATGAATTTTTAATAAATAACAAATGTGGTTGGAGACATTCAGCCATCTTTGAAGCTCATCCAACAGGTGCTCATTTGGATTTAAATCAGGACTGAGGGCAGGCCACTGCATGGTTCTGATGCCATTCTGCTGGAGGAAGCCTCTCATTGCTCTCGCAGTGTGGGTACGGGCGTTATCATGCTGAAACTCGTGGTTGCGGCGACGTGCCAAATGAGGTCTGGCGTGTGGTCTCAAGACTTGATCAATGTACCGAGCTGCTGTGACACCATTGCCTCTCTCTGGACCAATGTCCTGGAAGACCACAAGACCCTCTGTGCAGGACAATTCCACCCAACACCATGATGTGCAGACCACCCCACGAGTCTCCCTCAACAAGACAAGCATCCGAATAACGTTCCCAACGTAGTCGCCAGACTCTCTCTGCCATCTGCTGTTGAGATACAGTAACGGCTCTCTTCTGAGAAGAGGACTCTTCTCCAATGCTGGTGGCACCAATGTTGGTGGTGTGTTGCCCACTGAAGATGGTCCCGGCGATGACGTGGTGTCAGAATGGGTCCTCGGTGTGGCCTGAGACAGTGGAGGTGTCTGCTCGCCAATCGTCGACGCACAGTGTCCGCACTAATGTGTCGGTGATGTGTCCCATTGGTCTGTCGAGCAGTTTCCACAACAGTAACAAAGCGATCTTGAAGATGCTGTCGGACAATCTGACGATCCTGACGTCGAATGGTAACCCTTTGTCTTCCACTACGTGGTCGGTCATCTGTAGTGTTGTTGGTCTGGTACCATCGCTGGAGCCTGTATATGGTCCTTATGTGGACTTGAAATGCGTTGGCTACTTGCCGGGCGGTTTGTCCAGCTTGCAATCATTGAAGGGCTTGGTGTCGCTGATTTCTTGTCAATCTTGGCATGTGGTATCAATTCAATAACGAATGAATGTTATCCGATCTGGCTGGATTTTTATAGGGCAAGAAATCGGGGAACGCATGTGCATTTCAATTTGCACAGAACTCACATGAATCAGGTTACCATGGCCGTTGCCAGGCGATCTGTTTTATTGTCATTTGCTTTGTTTTTTTATCATCAAATTTCATTTTTCCGCACAAGGTAATGTTAAATTCTAGAAACTTTGCCAAAAATTACCAAGGTATTTAAATGACAACTTTTCATGCAATGTTACTTGGGGTGACGTTTCTTTTCATACTTACTATTCTACTTACATCCTAATTTCTCCCCCCTCCAGCTACATAACAACCTATTCTAAAACTAAAGATAGAGGCATCTTGTTAAACTTGTGGACCGCTTCTGTTCGTTTTCTTTTAGTGAAGTCATGGAAGTTGTTGGAAAGGATTTGAACGTTTTCCCAGTTGATGTTGTGATTGGGAAAACATCCAAATCCTCTCGAATAATCTCCATGACTTCACTAAAAAACAACTAACAGAAGCAGTCCACATTTTCCGCTACAAGCCATCATTCAATAGAGATCAAAGTATTTTATCCCATCCTCCTACTATGTACTCATTAAGCAATAACCACCACACCTATCTGAACTTATCATGTTTAGTCGGCTTCATGTCTCATTGGCTTCCAACTGTGTGTTCTCTGTCCATCATGTTGTGACAGTATTTATTCCTTCTTTACTTAAGGGTAAAATTAATACAGATAAAACAGCTGCATTATGTACCAACAGACCTGAATGGGGAAGGTTTCGTGTCATTCTGTTGAATGTTATGACTTGACATTAACTCAGACTGTTGTTGGCAGTATTAAAACTTTTATTAACCACTGTATTTTCCGAAAGGTGTGTGTCTGTAAACCTCTCAAAGACATGATTTTTATTAACATTATTGGCTATGTCTTTTTTGTAAGATTAAACATACATGAAATGACATGTAAAACATCTTATTAATTTTCAAAGTGAGGCGTATATATTTTTACTTGGCTGACAGATTTCCTGATCTCAAATTTACATAAATTTTGAAGGTTTTTAGCACATTTGCTGTTTTTTTATTAGTTTTCAGTAATGAAATAGCTAAAGTAAGTCAATATATGACGCGGAGTAACCCACTGACTTGTCATTAAAAACACAAACCACCATTATCTGTTTTTTCTTCTTATAATTTAAGAAATCACTTACACAATATCATTATACAAATTCAATCAATTTCTTGTTCTTGACCGTTGACACTAAATGTTTGGAAAAGTGATTAAAGCTGCAGTGAATATAAACATTTTCACTGGATCTGATGTCAACAGATCAGAAGTTCTGATGACAAAGTTTCAGATACTTCATTATCTGCTGAAGGCAGTTTAAGTTTCTACTTAGGTGACAAAATCACAACTGGAAGGCATGAGAACTTCAGTATAAAGTGAACTAGACACAATACTTTCTGTTTCAGCTCAAATGTAATGCACATTTTTAAGTGACTTAATAAGACCAGAGCTGAAAAGGCCTTGATGCTAATCACCTAGGGCCATGATGAATTTATTTGGAGCCAGTATCACTGCTTTTAGTTATATATTAAATAGTGCCTTACATTTAGTGAATTTTAGATGTGCATATTTTAAACAGATATTTTTACTTTCATGTCAAGAAAGTTATTGTTCCAAACTGTATTTATTAGTGTCTGACTGTGAACATGTATACATGTTTTAACCTGTTCATAAAATCACCTGTCTGTCTGTGTGGCAGACTGACAGACAGACAGATTATTTTATGATCAGTTGTGTGACCAATAATTGACACTGTATTCAACATCACAAATTTATACTGAATGACTAAAGACTGAATTTAGAGTGACAAGGTATTTGGTTAATTAAGCGGTTATTTGGGCAGTTTGCAAGCACCTCTCATCACAAAGTGATACTGAATGAATAAAGACTGAATTTAAAGCAAGAACTTATTCAATTAATTACATTGTTGTTTTGTGTAATTTGCAATCACCTCACATCACAAAAGGAAACAAATTTAATATGAAATGATCAACATGTTCAGTGAGGACAAACTCGATAAATGAATTAAAGTTATGAAGATCACATTTATTAGGGTTTTAACAACCATGTTCATGTGAAAACATAATACATTCTTCTCCCTTTACAGTTGTTGACATTCTCTTTCATATCTGTTATATACATAGAACATATTAGCATTATTTCATCTCCATCAGCTTCCATTTTGCAGCAGCATAAACATCAACGGTCACAACAAGTACCACTGTGCAATATAACAGTAGCAGCATAGGAATTACATATAAAATAATTATAACAATAAATATGACAAAATCAGTAACCTCCTTGAAAAAGAGAAATTTATCTTTTTGTATGCTGTGAGAACAGTTGTGGCAGCATATGCTCCACGAAGAGGGTATTTAGTTTCTTATTTTGCCACAAAATTACAAAGACATATCATTTTTATCCCATGACACCCACTTGTCCCTGAAAATAAGAATAGTTTAATTGTAGTTATTACTTTACAGTAGTTATCCATAAAAAAGCATCACAAATTCATCATCTGCTATGTTTCAAATGTTACAGCATGGAAGTTGAGACTTGTCCGGGGAGACAATTCTGTCTAATTAACTTTTGCGGTTTCTAATAGAACATATGTTTGTACAATAGTCCGCCATCACCCTGGACAAACTCTGATATCAACCGATAGAAACAGTTCTGGCTGTAGGGATCCTATGTGTCATCCGTTGATCCGAAGGCTATCAACCAACCTCAACCCCAACCAGCAGTGTACACTCTCTTGGAAAGTACAAGAAGACCCATCCATGTGGATCCGAAACTTCAAGTGGCTCTCTTCTACCTATACCTGTGGCCATTGGCCTTTCTTCATTGGGTCCGCGGGCATCCCAGCCACCTTCTCTGTGCAGATCCGAAGCTTCAGGTGGCTCTCTCCTCCACAAACCAGTGATGGGTAAAACATACACTGTTGAACCAACATCTAACTGCCTCAGACTGCTGGGATAGTTGCAGTCCTATCTTTCTTCATCATCCATGGATTCAGTCCAGAAGAAGCCAACCCTGACTCCAAATCAGTGGTGAGGTAACCTTCATGGTCGGGCCAAGACTGTCTGGTCCATTCCGTCCGACTCGGCTGTGGGAAATCAGATATACACAACGTCAATGACCATCTGGCCAGATGTAACCACATCTAGTGGTGTAATTTCTCTGTCGGACCATGACTGTCCCATCCGTTCCGACTGTGGGGATGACAAACATATACATCAAACCCATCTATCAGTGTATTTTCTTACAGTCGAAATGTGACTGTCCAGTCTGTCTCAGCTGTGGAAAACCTGGATCTTCCTCCACGGACCCAAATGCTAATGGGCGTCCTCGACTGCATTCAGTGGTGTACTTTCAGCTGTCAGTGGTTGGCACATGTTGACTCTCAAGTACTGTCTTCCAGACTCAAGCTGGTCCACAAATCTACCTACAGAACCTGAGAGGAACATGTACCGGGTGGTGTAGACTTTAATTCTTGTAATGGACAAACACTGGCCTACCACAGCCACAGTAGGTCCATAAGCTCCCATGGTGTGCATCTGTTTTAAGTAACCTGATACTCCCCACCCCATTAACCTGCAGCTGAGGGAGTCTCAGGATGGGAGATACTATAAATATCTCAACCAGTTATAGATAGTTGTCAGGGAAGAAGACTTCTTTTGAATATCTGAAGATTTTTTTCTGAAATAAAGGATTTCTGGCAAGGATGTAATTGGGTTTTGCTTTCATAGAAATTAAAATCATATTTAGATATGTGCATAAAAATTCAGAGGTACAAAAAAATATACAAAGATTCTTCAATTTTCCCTTGTGTTGAAATATATATGAATAAATATATTTCACATCTTTATATATTTTCACATTCAATGCCTAAGTAAAGCTTTCAAAATGTATTATGGTGGACATGTACAGGACATTTCCAAATATGATTAATCAGTGACAAAATGATATCTGATGTAATTCCTTGTGACTTGCCTTTGCATGTGTTTGTGACTGGTGCCACCTGTGAAGGTAGCAGGGTGTGCTCACCTTTTTCGGGAACACCGTGTATCACCATGGTTTGATAGTGATTTAAAAACACATGCTCATGATATAGTCAGATTTTCAAAATGGACTGCTTTTATCCCAGAGAAGATATTTACCAAGCTTAATGATAAGTGTTTTACTTCTTTCATGGGGTACTTGCAACACATTCTGTAAAAACACTATCCAAGGGGATATAAAAGAGAGATAGAGAGTGAATGAATGCTAAACATGGTAGTCAACAAAATCCTGGCTATCCCAGAGACCAGTATATCAATGGTGTTGGCCAGGCATACCATTGAATGAGAACATGAGCAACATTCAATGCAATGTCACCATGGTACAGCATGCTCCAAAGACAGGTCACACACAGTGGCAATCAGTAAAAGTAGGGGTTGCTGAGAACCTACTCTCACCTGTCATCCAAACAGGATAATATGACAAAGAATATTTCCTGAAATTTTACTTCTGGAATATTATGTAAAAGAGGTCAAATAAAGACTTACCAGAACAGGCTTAGTTGAGCTGAGAATGGACCTGAACTGAGGTAGGATGATGTCCATATAATCATCTCGAGGGGCAAAATCTATCATAGTGAGCAGGGCAGGTAAGGCATACACAATGTTCTCAGAGGTCTTGCAATCAGCACAAAGAACAGGGAAGACATTCTTATACAAAAGTTTCTGCAACAAAGAATAGGAGAAATATTTTCACAAAGTACTGACAGCATAAAGCATGGTATATATGTATAGAATAGTAAAGGAAAAAAGTAACTGTACTTCATATAAAGTGGTGTATATGTTATGTTACTGAAAATAAAAACATAGTATTTGGTCATTCGATTGACCAATGTTTCATGTGACAAAATTCATTACCAAAACCCCTTCCTGATCACAGGGAACAGAGAGAACAACTGACCACCATTTGCGTTGATACAGGTGATGCAGCAGCAGCAGCAGCACTTTGAAGACACCAGATGATTGAAAAACGTGTGTGTGTGTGTGTGGGGGGGGTAGATGTTGTTCCAAATGTCCCATTGGCCCAACTGAGCAGGCATTACCTCCTGGTCCTGGTCCTGTTGTATTCATTGGACCATCTCATCCCACACATGTTCTATGGGTCTGGAGAACAGCTGGCCACAGCAATGTTATGCTGCCTCAAAAAGTCAACAATGTGTGAGCGGGAACTATCCTGCTGCAACATGACGTTATGTCCCTGCATTAGCACAAAGGGTAGAACATGATCGCCAACGATGTCATCCCAGTAGCATATGCCATTCAAATTGCTACCAAGAATGATGAGTTATATTCTCCAATGAGCTGTGATGCTACTCAATACCACTACACTTCCATCCCCAAACTGACAACACTTAGTAACGCATCAGAGCTGTCCAGATGAAACCTGCAATCATTTGTATCCTGTCTCAATGTTGTTGTTGGGGCCTGATGTTGTGCTCCCTCAACCGGTTGCATGCAGTTCTGCCACTAATTGGTCACAACCCCAGAATTGTGTAAGGTGTTAATGTGGCAATTTGGTATCGATTCCACAGATGTACAACCCAAAGACAGTTGTCTTGTTGATGTTGCTCTTCTTCCAAAGAGATCATATTGTGTTTCGATGGACATTAAAGTGTCTGGCGACTTTATTTTGTGCAATTCCTGTTTGCAGCATACCCATGGAGCATAGACGTTATGTTTCCTGATAGCTAAACAATCATTGTGTGCTGTTCACATTAAATAAACATGTGTGTGAGCATCATGCTCCCAACAAACAAGCAAACATCCAAATTCATCACCATGCATTAACATGCATGTGGAAATTGGGATATACACAAGTCACGGAGATGTCTTCACAAATATGTATTGAAAGATGCATTATTTATTTCCAGAATGAATGTATTTTCACTGAACTTGATATGAAGCTCAGTTACTTTTTTCCATTAATATATTTGTAGTCATTATTTTCTCATCTATTCTTAGGAGAGTAACATGGAAAGCTTTGGGGAGAGAATTCAGCAATCTTAACCTATGAACATGATGAACATTTATTTTCCTAAAGATAAACATAATGCATATAATACTGAAAGAAAATGGGTACAATATGGGAAGCCCATTGCTAGTGTCCCCCGATGTGATATTGCTGGAATATTGCTAAAAGCGGCGTAAAACCATACTCACTCACTCACTCACTCACTGAAAGAAAAAGAAAAGAAATTACTACCACTAGACCCTGTATCTCACCCAAATGTTAAGGTAATGAAACAGTATGTTAAGTATCATTGCATATAGTAAGGAAATTACTCTGAGATATTAGATAACAAAGGGGGCAAGGTGATGGGAAATGGGGTTTAACATTTCCTACAAGATTATTGCACTTTTAAAGCAACATGCATGCATATGTATGTGTGGCTGCTTGTTCAGGCTAATGCTGGCTTTATAGTGTTAGCCCACTGAGATAAAATGCTGCAATTGAAACATGGGTATCCCATTCAGAACAGTATACTGACTCCGAGCCGACCAGTCCTTTTTTTATCCTCTTAATGCCGAGCGCCAGGCAGTTCAACAACCAGTACCATCTTTTACCATCTGTTGGTGTTACACAGTCAGAGTATCGAACCACCAACATTCAACTCTTTGGGCATGTCTATTTATACTCAGAAATCTGATGATGGAGGATCTAAATTTCCCTGAGTGTGCTGTAGCAATGTCTATTTCAAAAGTGTCCCACCAGACCCATCAAGCTCCGGGTTAGAATAGGTCTTCAGCAAACCATGTTTGTCTTAAAAGGCGACTTACACGATCAGGTGGTTAGGCTCGCTGACTTGGCTGATGCATGTCATCATATTATGCAGCAAAATTTAAGAAACAATGCACCATACTTTATCGTAAGTCCAGAGATGTTCGTAAAGTTGGAGTGGATCATGTCCTTGAGACAAGGGACAATCCCTCATCCTCGATATTGAGCAGTGACATGAATCCACCTTACAACATTTAAATCACTATTAAACTGCAGAGACATACACCTTCGACACTTGTCAGTGTGTCTTTTTGTGTGTATCCGCCCTTTGTTTGACTTTCCCTTGTGACTTGTGACTCCGACACTCACTCCCACTGTGAGTGGGACAACTTTTCATCCCTGAGGATAATGCTTGTTCTATCCCCATGGGTGAGACATGCAGCATTTGTCTGAGACAAGCAACCTACAACCTGAGCTATACCCCAGTGTATTATCATGGGATAACATTTATACTAAGTTATCTTATAATAATTAGATCTACATCAAGTGCTTTTATGAGTTATCATGGTGTAATATTTATACATCATTTCATATAATTATAGTTTAGCAAGTAATAATTATCATTAGGTAAAATGCATATATAAAATATCAGTAGTTTCAGTTAAAGCTTTTTTAGATGGTTGCTAGCCTAAGGTAATGGGAGCGCGTCTTCTGGACATACTATTCAATAAGACAAGAGTTACGTCTACATAGTTTAATTGATTTGAAGCTTTTAGATAAATGCTAGCCTAAGGTATCTCCCAGACAAAGGATATTTATTTAAGTATATCTGTCATCACCTACCGGGGTATATTAGAATAACATTACTTCAATTAAGACTCATTAAGGATTAGCCCCCATACAAGCTCGTCTATAGTGCATTAAGGATTAGCCCCCATACCAGCTCATCTACAGGGCATTAAGGATTAGCCCCCACACAAGCTCATCTATAGTGACACCCTAATCTCTTTCAAAGCATCCAGTAAATATGTCAACAAGATTAGTGCCAGTCCAACAGGATAAACAGGATTTAGTATTCCCCTCTGTCTAGCCATCCATTTAGCTTAGGACACAACCAATCGTGTATCAACCAATCACATTCCTTTCTATTGTTTAAATTTTTGTTAAATACATACTGTAGGCAGGTTTTAACCAAAAAATAAACATCATAAACATCTACCACTGGCAACAACAGAAAATCCAACCGGAGGATCTAAACATACTCACAAAGATAGGCAACAAATCTACCATCTTTCTAGGAGACTTCAACGCCCACCACCCTTCCTGGGGCACGGGAGATAAACTAGATAATCACGGCAAACTAATATCAGAATGGATAGAAACAAATAATTTAGTACTACTAAATAACAACCAACCTACCAGATACGACAAAAACAATAAAAACATGTCGGCTATCGACCTAACCATATGTACAGCAGACTTAGCTCAAAGTACCCAATGGGAAGTTCACGACGCCCCCCTAGGAAGTGATCACTTCCCCATAAACATAACCATAGGAAACACTAACGTCCCAAATCAATCCGAAAGTTCAGAACCTAAATTTAACTACAACCAGGCTAACTGGGATAAATTCCAAGACATATGCAACCAAGCTAACCTAGTAGAACTAGAAAATAGTGACCCAGAAATATATTGCCAAAACCTAACGGACTTCATAATAAACGCAGCCAAAAGCGCAATCCCCTTTAAAAAACCCAATAAATCGGGTAGGCCCTCTGTACCCTGGTGGAACGAGGAAATAGAACTAACTAGACAAAAACGTAAAACAGCCTTCAACAAAGCCAAACGCGACCATAACCACATACCAGTAGCTCACCAACTAAACCACCAGGTACAAAACCTAGTTAAAATAGCAAAAACTAGAGACTGGAAAAAATTCTGTGAGGGATTAAACAACCGTACAGACGCCAGAACGGTCTGGCGTAAAATCCACGCCGTTAGAGGCCTAAAACGTCACCAAAAGACACCTAACATAAATAACTCAACAACCCCTAGCGAAAAAGCAGACAACCTAGCAAACCACTTTTCGGCCACAAGCAGTAATAACAATTTCAGTGACAAATTCCAACTAAAACTTAAAACAGAAACCAAACCTAGCCAAGACCCAAATAATGACGCCCTAGAAATAAATCAGCCGTACACAATAGAAGAACTCAATTATGTACTCCAAAATAGGAAAAAGGGAACAGCCCCAGGACTAGACCTAACCTCCTACCAAATATTAAAAAAACTCCCCCCTAAATTACTCCAGACACTACTCAAACTATATAACCTAATCTACATAAAAGGCCATGTACCAACCCCCTGGAAAGAGGCGCTAATCATACCTATTCCCAAACCCGGTAAACCAACCAACCAAGCTAACTCTTATAGACCAATCTCTCTTACTTCCAACCTTTGCAAAGTAATGGAATCCATGGCCAAAAATAGACTTCAACACTATCTATCTCAAAATAACATAATAAACTCAGATCAAAGCGGTTTCACTCCTGGCCGCTCCACCCTAGATAACCTCGCTCGTCTCGAACAGGATATTAAAACCGGTCAACTAAACAAACAATACACAACAGGCATCTTTCTGGACTTCTCTAAAGCCTTTGATATGGTATGGCATAACGGATTAATCCAAAAACTTAAAAAAATAGGACTTAAAGGTCAAATCGTAAACTACATCCAAAGCTTCCTCCAAAACCGCAAAATTACAGTGGGTATAGACCAGGCCTTGTCAGAGCAGTGTCCCCTGGAAAACGGCACCCCTCAAGGCAGCATTCTTAGCCCCACACTTTTTAACATAATGATAAACGACCTATTTGATGGCTTATCCCCCAAAATAAACACCTCAAAATTTGCGGATGACGGAGCCCTATGGATCCGCTCCAAAAGTATC